TTTATGGAATTGTAAAACCCCTTACGTTTTTCTTAAAAATCCCATTTTATTTGGAACTTATGATTTTATAATAGCCCTACCACCCAATCACCCCACAATAAATGTAAATGAATATAGAAGTAAGGGTTTTCGTTGTCCGTTTTCAAGTTAGAGCGAATTAGGGTTTTCACGTTTTTTCGTAGTGTGGCTATTCGGTACGGAGTGAGGATCAAATTTGGTGGGTAAGAGTGACTTTTGGATGAGGAAATATTATATGATTAGAAGTGATAATAATAAATTAGTGAATAGGAAGTAAAAACCCTAGTACGTGTGATTTAAGAAAAAACGGTGCGAACCGACGTGTACCGTGCACTACCGATTGAACACACCACTTTCTTACCATATAAGCTCATTAATATTTGTGCAAAATATCCTCTCATTCTCAGCTAGCTTTGGCCGAAAATGTTGACCAAATTTGCAAGGAAAAGAAAAAAAAATGAGTGGAAATTGGTAATGCCACTTGTTGGCCATCTAGGGCCTTGACCAAGACCAAATTGTCTTGCCTTCTTATCACCATTTAGCTTCCTTTCTTCATCATTTTCTGCTTTCTTTGGCCGAGAGAGAGGGAGAGAAAAACCAAGGGAGAGATACACCAATCCATCTTGAGTTTGAGTCACTTAGGTGAGGAAACAAGAAACTAATCCGATTAAAACTTTCTTCGAGTGTTTAGCTAGTGGTGTGTTGGTGAAAGTTGGAAGGAAAAGCTAGGGCTACTCTTGGAAGTAACTTTAGTAAGGTAATAATGCTGATTTACCATTTCTTACTCTTAATCTTGCTTAATTTGGCATAGCACCTTACATTTGTGGTGGATGATAGCTATTATAGTGTATGTTCTTGAGTTACATGAGTTAGGGTTTGAATGATTTTCTACCTATACTTGCTGTATGGATAGTATATGTTGTATCTAAACTTATATAAGAGGTTGTGATAGTGATTGAAGCAAGAAATGAAGAAAGTTTCCTTTGAAACCGTAAAATTTCAGATTTCTGGAAAACTGTAGTTTAGTTCTGTCCGGTTCCAGTTCGTGATGTTAGAGGCTGAATTAAGCCTAGCATAAAACATGAAAGTTTTATACAATGATGTTTTATAGTTTTCTACAAATTTCAACTCAATTGGAGCAACGTAGCCTGTGAAAAGACCAAAATACCCTCACTGCCCTAGGATGTATCCAGTGATCAGTTTTAAACAGTTCATCCAATTGACCGTGTTTATTCACTATGATCCGTGCTGATTTAGCCATTTTCCAAAACATGAAAGTTTTAGTAATTTGTCTTAGCTTTTCAACGCCTCCAAGAACATCTTAAACGGACTTTGGTAGCTTGAGATATGGCCATTTGAAGGTAGTGCAGTTAACTGGTCTATTAGTTGGAATTTGGTTCTGTGAATTGGGAATTTGACTGGGTTACCCTGGAATTTGGACTAAGTAATTTTCATAAAAATTGTAGCCCTTTGTCTTAGTTTCGAAACGGCATAAATTTCATCCCAATCCGATAAGCGTAGATTCGGTTGTGCCCGTTATGTAAAATCATGTCAAATTTGTCTTTTGCTAAACCTCATTTCCGCACATGTCGTTAGCTTGATTTTGTACTTGTATTACCTTGAGCCTATTGAACGGCTATTGAAATGAGATTGTCTTGTGTGTAACTTTGGGTTTGATTGAGAAAAAGAATGAAGCCATAAATGGCTAGAAAATAGGAAAATATAAAGGGCGTGCTGCCTAAATTTACGCTCAAGGGCTAGGTAGCCATACTTGCAACTTGAGTAAGGGTTAAGAGCGATTACCACTTGAACCATCTAGGATATTTGCATCTTCTTTTATCGAGATATATAAGTAAGGACTTGGCCGAACTTGTACCCTTGAGAAATAAAATAATGACTGCTCGGAGTATGTTTTCCTTGTATTTTCGACTCAAATGGTATTTTCAAGTATAAATGTTACAAAGTTATATAGTTTGAAAAGCGAGCGAGTGTTTCACAAATATTCTCCAAGTGAATTCCCATTTCTTGATTCTTATTGAACGAAACGTCTAAGTTTGGAATCTTAGCCATGTTTCAAAGTTCTTAAACTGAGTTTTATCGCAGATTTGGACTCAAAACCAGGAGTACAACCTGAAAGTGACCAGTAAAGGCACTATATCTTTTGGTGAGTGTTTTCAAATACCGAATTGAATTTGATACTTGTATTTGATACGTGACCAATGTGATTACCTGTTATATACGTGAATTGTTAGGGCGAGAGTGTACTTTATCGCACTTGCCCTAATATGAGATATACTTGTTTATTATTGCAATTGATTTGATATACTTGTCTATGATGTGCGCACCTCCTAGAATTCCAGAAACCCTGTGGCGAGTTACTCAAGTCGAGTCGGCAAGGGCTTGGTCGATTGGGTAACAAACCCTGGGTCTCTTGTTTTGTCGAGTAGAGTGATATCTCCTCGACTAATCAGTATACTCGAGTATTACCACCCGTGTTTATTGAGGATTTTGGGCCCAGTAGGGGGTGTGAATGGTGGACGGAGAGTAGTGTAAGTGGTGCTCTACTGGATTGGTTATTTACTTGAAAGTTGACGGAGTGTCAACTATTACGTGATCAAGCTCCTGGTGATACAATGGGAATTTGGCTCCTGAGAGCCCTCCGTATCCTTATACTTTGGAATGATTATTGCTTATTGGATTATTGATTCTTCTGAAAAACTTTTACACTCGCTTACTTTGAGATTTTCTACTTGAAGAATTATTATTCACTCTTATGAACTTTTGATGCCATTAACTTGCTACGTTGATATGCGTACCCTTTAAAATGGTCAATTTGATATTTGAAACTTCACTGGGATTTGGCTCACTCCATTAGTTTGTTTTCCTTACAGGGGGTACGAGCGAGGCATGAGACGTGTAAAGACTAGCGTAGTCTAGTTGTTTTGACTTTTGACTTGTACTCGCATTATCCCTCGAATAAAATATTTTGTATTTGGATTGTATACACTTTAAACCAGTTTGGGTATATTGAGGCTTTGTATCTTGATTGTGCATGGATGTATGCACGTGATACGAACGAGTGAGTGAGTCCTGGCGAGAGTTGGGCAGGCAGTCCGTCGAACCCTTTGGTACGCCTTATGGGGAGGTGGAGTCGTCACAGATGAGGCTTGTTGGCGATTCATACTGAGCTGGGAAGATTTTGGTGAGAGTAGCGTAGGATTTTTCTGAGGTTGGGGTGGGTGGAGGAACTTCTCTGGTTTTGGATAAGTAGCTGTTAGCGGGAGGGCTATGCCTGTCTTTCGAAGGTAGGTAATCGAAACTGGCTTTCGGCGGGTCATTTTTGGATTTAGGAGGTGAGGGAGGTTGGAATTTGAAATTTCCATATGCAGGCAAAGTTTCTCCCGACTGTTTGCTAAGAAGTTTTGATGTAAGAGAAAGAGCACTAGGAAGGGGATTTTGGGACTGATGTTCAGTGGCAGGTCTGAGAGGCTCAGCAATTTTGGCGCAGTTAGGAAGCACAGAGTCAACATCAGATAGCAGGTCAAAATTATTACTAATTGGGATATCTGTGCCAATGGCTATAGGGACCCGGTTAGAGGGTTGGGCTTTGAGTTGACCAACACCTGGGCCATGAAGCCTTATGGTTCGGGATGGTCTGGAATTGACTTTTGAAATTGAAATTTGCTGACCATTGGGCTTACGAAGGAGAGGTCGCTTTCCTGACATAGAGAACGGTTGGCCGGTGAATGCCTGAACACGTCTCCACGTCTCTCCTCCTGGCTGTGCTTCCATTTGTTCATCGGAGGTGGGTTTAGGGCAGTAAGGTTGGTCGTGTCCCAACATACCACAATTTGGATAGAAGGTCATAGCTTCTACTGCCATTAGTTGATGATGTCCATCTAGTTGGATTGAGGTTGGCAGTGGACGTGTTATGTCTAATTCGATGCACAACCTAGCGAATCTTCCTCGTTTTGTATTGGCCGTCCTTGCATCAATGCTGATGAGCTTCCCGATTCTATTCCCAATGAGAGAGAGTGCTTCTTGATCATAAAATTCTAGGGGGAGTCCTGGTAGTCTGATCCAAACAGCTGTTGTGGATGCTTTCGCTTCGAAGGCATTAAAATATGGACACCAGTTGCGAATAGAAATAAGAGATTTATTGATAAACCATGGACCGCCCGTTAAGATTCTTAGGTGATCTTCTGGGTTTTTGAATCTAATTGCAAAGAAATCCCTACCCAGATCTAGGATTGCTATTTCGCCAATAGGTTTCCAGATTTGACGAATTTTAAGGTCGAAGTATTTGAAACCAGTGCTTCATCCTAGAGGTTTTGCAATCAGAATGAATTTCCAAGGTTCTCTGAGTCTGTCTGTGAGCAGGGGGGGAATTCTATGGTGAGGGACCCGGTTTGTGTATGGGTTTAGGGATCCTTAGAGAGATAACTAAAATCCAATGTTTTAAAACCCGGACCGTCAATCGAACCGGTGAGGTGAAAGGGTCGACGTTCAACCGGTCGGACCGGTTCAACCTCGGTTCAATAAATAAATAAATAAATATATGTACATATATATAGACACACACACCTATGCACAGAATAAGATATAAATGCTAAACCACAATAAATATAAGAGCAATATCCAACAATTAACACACAAACAATTAACATAGTTATCAAACTTACATGTCCAATTGTCTAAATATTAGAATTAACAAAAAACAATACAAGTATAGAAAACAATCAAAAGGTCCAAACAAGTCCAATTTTTTAGGCTTCTATAATCTTCTTCATAATTCTAGAACAACAAAGCTTCAAAAAAAGCCATCTTGACAAGTTGTCATCATCATCCAAGACCATTATATGAATCATTGACAAGTGATAAAAGTATAAAATCATATTAGTTTCATCACACCAACTGATACAAATCTTAAAAATAAAAATAAAAAAGTACAAATAATTCTATACCAATTACCATTTGAATATTTAATGCCAATCATCATCTTCATCATTAAAAAAGTTTCGACGCTGAAATGTTTCTAAATCAACATCTTCTGCTTCATCTTCATCATCTAAAAAATCAGCATATTTAATTATATACATATTCAACAATTGAATATCATATCATACTAGCTTTATTTTTGCATCAAACTAATGATTTATGTCAGACTAACCTTCAAGTTGTTCAGAATTTGAACATTGACCATGAATTGGAGGTTCTTCAAGCTCTTCCTCTAACTCCTCATAATCAAGCTCCCCTTCTTGTTCTTCTTCAACCACCCAAAATTCTGTTTTATCAATTGACTCATAATCAACGGGATCATACGATCTCTTTTGCTGATATATATATATATGTATATATACAACATATACACTTAGTTAGTACTAAAATATTTTCTTAAAAAGAATGAAATGTCATTTATAAAAATAAACCATTTACATATACATATACTGCAAACGCAAATTGTAATGCACATATACAAGATCATTGAGTCTTTGATGCTCCAATCTATTCCTTTTCTTAGTATGAATACGTTCAAAAACACTCCAATTACGCTCACATCCTGAAGAAGAAGCTGTTTGACTTAAAACCCGAATTGCAAGTTTTTGTAAGTTGGGAGCATCACAACCAAAGAGTTTCCACCAATTCTCTGTCATATTCAAAATTTAAATATAAAAAAAATATTTATAAATTAGATATATATATTAGAAAGATTTAAATGCTAGAAAAATATAAATTACCTGGTCTATCTTTCTTGCTAGTAAGAATAGCAAGTATTCTGCCAAAACTTCCCTCCCGCTCTCGATACATTCCAATTTCTTTTGTTAAATTTTCCTCACTTCACCAATCCACCTTTGATTCTATGTAATCCAACAAACCATTTGTAATTTCTGGATGTGTAGAGAATGTGGCAGTGTCATATTGAAAAGCGGGATTTAAAAAATATGCTGTAGCATGCAAATTTTTCCTCAACATCCTATCCCATCGGTCATTGATGATATCAATGTAAGGCTTATATAGCCTTTCATTATTCCTGAACAACTTCTTGATTCTAGTAATTGCTCTAAACATACCTTCATACACATACCCCAAAGAAGGCCTTTCATCAGTGTCACAAACTCTCAACAACCGAATAATAGGACCCATTATTCTCACTGTAATCAAACAATTATTCCAAAATCTATCATCCAAAACAATTTGTTTGACCTCTTTTCCTTTGTTCATTTTCAAGAAATTTTTGTAATCTCCACTAGTGACTAAAGCTTGTAAGCTGTCTTTGTGATCATGTAAGCTCTTTAGTGCAATAAAAGTGGTGGCAAATCGAGTTTCCCCCGGACGAATAATCTCCTTCCACCCATTAGTTTTTCTGAACCAATTTAGAACATATTTATGATTATACACAAAAACAGTTATTGTAGAAGCAAGAGACACTAGAGATTTAACAGTACCCATTTCACCAATATCCTTCAAAATCAAATTGATACAATGGGCAGCACATGGAGACCAGCAAATAGTTGGATATCTTTCATTTAATAAAGTTCCAGCAGCCTTATAATTGCTAGCATTATCAGTGACTAAATGCACCACATTTTTGGAACCAACCATTTCAACAATTTCAACAAACAGATTGCACTAATTTTCTGCATTTGTCACAATGTCCGATGCATCTATAGACTTAAAAGATATACCCTTAGGACAATAAACCAGAAAATTAATCAATGGTCTTTATCTACTATCTTTCCATCCATCACCCATTATAGTGTATCCAGTTTTAGCCCAAGTATTTCGAAATGAATCAACAACTAACTGCACATCTTTCTTAGCATCTCGCAACAAAGTGACTTGCAAAGAATGATAAGATGAAGCTTTATAACCATGACCCATTGATGCTATTTGATCGATAGCTTTTTGAAAAAATGGAGAATTAACAGCATTAATGGGAATACATGCATCATAGAACCAAAGAGCAATGGCTATATCAGTATTTTGCCATTTATCCTTACTTTACAAACAAGTTTTGATAGTAGGTTGAGAACTATCACGTCTACCCTTAACGAAAGCACGAATACCTGTAGGCGCAGTGATTTTTCTCTTTCCTTTACCTAATGATGTACCAGCCTCATTCATTGAAATATCCCTTACTCGAGGAGGTGGAACCTCTTGCACTTCATCACCAACAAATTTGTGCACTGGTTGACCAAAAGGATTTTCGACCCCAAAATCTCCTCTTTTTTCTTTAGATTTTTTATCATTCTCTTGCAAAGATGTTAATAATGCAAGCCTCACTGCTGGATCAACATGTGCACATGAAGTAATACTGCCGTTACTCCTGCTAAGTGTTGCTTCATTCGGTGGATGCCACCCCCATGAAATACTTTAAAACAATAAGTGCATGTCATGGTTTTTCTTCCTTGTGCATTTCTGCCATGAGAAACATATCCCCATGCTATATCCGTCTTCTGCCTATGACCTTGGGGTTGACTTGCAGATTCCTCACTATTAAATGCTCCCCTCAGTGAACATTGTGAGTTACTACCGCTACCGGTGTCCATCCTAAAATGAGATATTTAAAAATAATTAGTCTTAAACAAATAATTAATACACACGAACCTGGTATACACCTTAGCAAAATATAATCCTAGTCTTGTAATAATTGCCAAAACTAAAATATACACCTAGTGATGTACGATGCTTAAGACTATTTGTATTTGGGAACTGAAACTGTCACCAAAAGGTCTAAAGGGGTTAATGGAGACAATGAAACAACCATTTAGCACGAGTGAAGTTATTTCCCTAAGCCTTGTGCATTTCTTGAGGGTGTTAAGTATCTTCACGATAACTGGGTTTTGCACAGAGATTTAAAGACATCAAATATACTTTTAAATAATTGTGGTGAGTTAAAAATCTGCGACTTTGGATTAGCACGTCAATATGGAAGCCCTTTGAAACCATATACTCAACTCACGTCCAACATAAGACAAAACAGACTCATCTACATTAGGTTAAGTAAAATCTCATTTACATTAATTAAGTTAAAACCATTGTTTTATCTTCATCCTTCCAACATTTTGTCAGTAGCACCTCCATTCTAAGCCAATCAGTAGCTGTTGGACCTAAGAAGATATGCTACAACTACCCAAATTTAACCATACGAATTCCATATAATGTAACCTAATACTCATCAGACAACCATCAAATTGCTTATCAAAAACCATTTGACCTTAGAAAAGGCATCAAATTAGAGATGCAATTATTTCCACAGAATCCCACAAGTTTACAACTCAATCGCTGCATTATATCATCAACAAGAAACTTGAAATTTTAACACAAAGGAAACAATTAAAATTACTTTCAAATTTTTTTTACGGCAATTCATTAAACACCACCAAGGACTCAAAACCCCACAAATTTTTTTTAAATTAAGACTAAAAACCAAAAAAAAAAATCATGTAAAGAAATGCAAGATTTCTAAACTTACTAGTGACAAGCAGCAATCCAGAGGTAAGTTGCTTACCTCTAAACTTACCTCTAAAAGTTTCTAAACTTTTATAACCAAGCAGTTTATCCATCTAACAGAAAACTCTATATAATGGAACCAAAATAAGGATGAGATTAAAGTTTGAGCAAGCTTACACTAAATTTAAGCCGTTCTTCTTTGACAGTGAGGTAGGTCAGTGAACTGGTTATCGCCCAAATTCCTAGAGGAAAATCTAACGGGAAGAAATTGGGTATTGATCGATGAGAAAGTGTGGAAATAGCACTGGATCAAAGATTGGAGTTTGGATAAGGGATTAGGGATGGCAGGCAATTTTGGCAATTGTAGGGGAAGTGGGAAGACCGAAGCGGTGAAGCGGCGAAGCGGCATAACGAAGAAGAAGACTGAGTGAAGATTGAAGAGTGAACCGGAGATTAGGTTTAGATAATTCGGTCAAAATTTAGTCAATTTTGCCAAAAATTAAAAAACCGCTGTTCACGGTTCATTCCGATTTAAACGATTTTTACGGGGTTGACCGGTTCTTGGACCAAGTCAACATTGGCTATGAACCGGACCGAACACATGGCTGGGTCGCGGTCGAACCGGCCGGTCCGGTCCGGGTTTGAAAACATTGCTAAAATCAACACCCAAAAAGAAGAGAATCGGCATGATAGGTACCTTTGATAATATTTTAACCTGTATGAATTTAATAATCTCCAAACACCTTTTTCGAAACCTTCGACCCACCACACTCTTGTCAGTATCCTCTAATCCCTTCAGTCGATTTTGCCATTGCTAATCCCTATGTTCCTTCAATCTTACAAACGGATCTGGTAACTAGGATCCCTTACTCCACTACTCTTGGTGATCGACGCTTTTACTAGGGGTCGTTAAGGTTGTTAATGGCATTCCAAGTCCTTGTATGAGGCCATTGATTTTAGTTCTTATTAATATACTAAATATTGACTTACTGTATCCTTCTGCAGAAACAATAGCTGCAGTTTCCTTAGAGGAGATCGGTTCGAGTGATGATAGAGCTGCTGAGTTCTAGGAACAACCTTCAAAAGTTCCCAAAAGGAAACTTAAAAAAGATGCCATTGCCTCTCTAGGTGTAAAAACTCAAGCTTCACTTCATCAGTAAGCCAAGAAACATAAACAAAAGAGGAGTCAATCCAAAGTTGCTAAAGTTGAAACTTTGAAAACTAGAACTTCCAAGAAATCGGCTTCTTGCTCTCAAGCCACCAGCTCGCCACTAAATGTCACAACTGTGGATTCCTTTAACCCTAGGAATCTCCTGCTATTGTAGCCCATCCTATGACCCTTGGGAGTAAACTACTAAAAAGGTAAGATTCATCAATTACCTTTTTTTGCTACATGCTTTTGATTGACTGATTCCTAATTTTTAGGTGCTTAGGAGTGGAACCCCTTCGTCGACAACAGAAACTGTTGATATGCTTGTGAGTTGAATTCTGAAAGTAGTCTTGATTGCTAGTTCAGCTTCCACCTCGACGCCTTTCCCAGGATCGGTTGATGTAGACGGCAACAAGCATGTCCTTAGTACCATCTTGGTAGGCATTTTTGATCAACTCTTTGACTTTCAAGCCGATCACTGTAAATCATTATTGGAATCACTCCTCCAAGCTAACCATCCTGAGCCCACCCTTGCAATGAAGGAAAATATCTAACACTTCCTTGCTGGTCTCTCTCACTGAATAGATGCCTTGTCTCAAATTCAGACGGACTTCTAGGACTTCAAAAAATACATAACTGACAAGGATAGCAAGGCTAAGGAATGCAATCAGTCAGTTGTAGGACTCCAAACGACTAATGAGCATTTGAGAAACCTTCCTGATGAAAGCTGCCGCTCGTAAGGTTCTAAAGGATATTCTGTGCAGATCAAGTGAACAGGCTGCTAATAGACATGCCTTGCCATTTCTTAGAAGGTCCTTGAAGAACTGAAGGACCTTAACACCCTAGTTGATTCCATGGATTTGAAACAGAAAATGGCTAGTATTGATAAGGCTCTTTGGAAAATGCCTTTGTTAATCTCAAGCCAATCCTATAATCCATCTTGCCGATGTTGAAATCCGCTCCTATTGTCAAAATTAGTCGGGCTATTAAACTAAGCACTTCCAAAGAAATCGCAGGTGGCAATTCAACTGATCCCAATCCACTGACAAGCTATAGCAAAGTCAGAGATGATTCCTCCTCCCTACAGTTCTCCCTTGAAACATCCAAAGGTTTTCCTTTGGCCTGATCAATCCTATATTTTTCTTGTCTTGCTTTTAAAGTAATGGTAGCCAATTTGTTTCAACCTTCAAACAATTTTCATGTCTTGTAATAACTTTACCAATTGTGCAACCAGTTTGATCTAGATGCTTTTACTTATTAGTTTGTGTCCATATTTTTTGTATTTGTACAGCCTACTAATTCGGCTATCAGCTCTGTGCCGATTAATCCATCTCGATATCCATCCCTATCTTGCAATAAATGGCTTGTCTTTTACTTACTGACATCTTATCCCATGTAGATGAATGAAAAGATTTCAAGTACATGCCGTTGATAGGCATAAGGTGTACTCGGTCATCCAAATCCGACAACCTATAAGCCCCTTTAGCCAGTACCTTATGTATAATTAAGGGCCCTTCCCAATTTGGACTCTATTGATAAGCCCTGTTGATAGAGTTAGGTGTACTCGACCATCCTAATCCGACAACCTATATGCCCATTTAACCAGTACCTTATGTATGATTAAGGACCTTCCCAATTTGGACTCCATTTTTCATATCGATCTTCCTTTTGACCGATGGAAAGGATCACTTTCATTACTTGTTCGCCTACTTGAAAATCTTGTGTTGAACATTCTTATTACACAGAGCAGCAACCCTTCTTTTGTTGGCTTCAATGTAGTCAAAAGCCGACAATCTATTCTCATCCAAGCTTACCAATTCCAATAGCATCACATAGTGATGTTCGTCGGTTAGTAGACCGTGTTGTTGGGCTAGCCTTGAGGCCCCTATTACAACTTTTGATGGGATGACTGCATTTTAGTCATACACCAACGTAAATGGGGTTGCACCGATACTCGTCTTAAAAGACATTCAATATGCCTACAGTGTTTCGGATAGGT